TAAGCTTAGGCAACCCTCTTACTAGGTCTCCTTGAATTAACCGTTGCAAAACACTCATACTAGCATGTCCTAGTCTCCTATGCCATAACCAACTATCATGCTCATCCTTAGCAACTAGGCATATATTAGTTATATCAAAAGAATCTAAATGCACCATGTATATGTTTCCTATTCTATGACCAACAAGCATAATCCGATTAGATGCAATGTAAATGACTTTACAACCATTAATTTTAAATAAGACATTGAATCCTTTATCGTATAATTGACTAGTACTCAATAGATTATGCTTTAATCCATTCACATAGAAAACATTTTTAATTTGTATGGAAGAGGTATTACCTATTGTACCATTACCTTCAATGTGACCTTTTGAATTGTCTCCAAAAGTCACTTCTCCTCCATTTTTGGCGTTAAGCTCAATGAACCGGCTTTTGTCTCCGGTCATGTGTCTTGAGCATCCACTATCAAGGTACCATGAATTTGAATTTGTTTCCCGTGCCTTGTAGCAATGCTTCTTTCCCTACAAATATAGATTAATTTTTGATTTTTGGTACCCAAATTCTTTTGGGTCCATATTCATTAGTTTCCAAAATCCTAGTCCCCTTAGGTATCCATTTGTGTAGGATATTTTTATCTTTAGTAGTAATGAGTTCTTTAGGAACCCACATACTTCTAACGATTTTTCTATTAGAGGTTCTTTGGGGACCTCTATGATTGTAGTTTCTAAAACTTTTTCTAACAAAGTTGGATTTTGAATTTCCACATTTTTCAAAATGTTTTGTTCCAACTTTATCAAAAGAAGTTTTAAGATCATCAATTTTCTTTTGATGATCATCATTGATCTTTGAAAGTAAATTTTGCAAATCTAAATTTTTCTTTTCAAACTCTTCTAGTTTGATTTGAAAATCTTTGATTTTACTTTCAAGATCGTTGTTGGTTTTGGATATGAGTTTGTTTTCATTTTTCAATTTTGAAACATCATTTTTATATTTTAAAAATAATTTCTCATAATCCGAAGCCAACCCATTATATTCCTCTAATAACTCATCATAGGATAAATCATCAAAATCGGATGAGTTAGAGGTTACCTTAGAATCTTCCCCGAATGCCATCAAGCACAAGTTAGCTACTTTTTGTTCCTCTTCATCAGAACTTTCTTCATCGCTCCATGTAGCCACATGAGCCCTGTGCTTATTCTTTGATTGACCCTTTTTCTTCAATTATGGGCAATCATATTTGACATGCCCTGCTTTTTGCATTCGTAGCAAATGATTGGGTCCTTCTCTTTCGGTTCATTTTTGAGGCCTTCATTTCGTTTGAATTTTCTTCCTCGATAAGGTCTCATCATTTTTCTGAACCGTTTGGCAAACAATGCCATTTCCTCGTCATCATCATCGTCATTCGAATCACTCTCATCTTTTGTGGATTTGAGAGCAACTCCAATGTTTTTCTTCTTCTCCTTCTCTTTTGGTGTCTCGTCAATCTTGTCGAGGTCCACCTCATCTTCGAGCATCATTTCATGAGTGAGGAGTGACCCAATTAGCTCTTCAAGAGTTAAGGACGTTAAGTCCTTAGACTCGATGATTGTCGTCTTCTTTGATTGCCACGATTTTGGGAGGGAGTAGATTAACTTCCTCACAAGCTTTTCATTTGAAATGATCTCTCCATATAATTTGAGACCATTAACAATCGTTGAAAATCTATCCGTCATAGCTTTGATATCTTCATTTGGTTTGATCCTGAAATTTTCATAGCTATGCGTTAGAATACTAATTTTAGATTTCTTTACCTCATCGGTACCTTCATGAGTGACTTGAAGTTTGTCCCATATTTCTTTGGCGGTTGTCCACGATGAAACTCTTCCGTATTCATCTGGTCCAAGAGCATAAAAAATGATATGGATGACTTTGGAGTTGAGCTGGAACATTCTTGTCTCTCCTTCACTCCACAACCTTGGATGAGTGAGAGGTTTGATGTATCCTTCTTCTACGGCATTCCATGCTCCCATGTCAATTGCTTGAATGAAGTACATCATTCTATTCTTCCAATGGGCATAGTTAGCTCCATTGAAGAAAGGAGGCTTGTTGAAGGGCATTGAATCGAGACCGGAGTCGAAGTTTGAAGCGGAGGCCATTGATGACTTTGATTATCGATATAACTCTTCCCGAATCGAATCAAGAGGCAATTAAACCTTCAAATGAGTTAGGCTCTGATACCAATTGTTGAGTTAATCAATTGACTGAATCGGCCAAGAGGGGGTGAATTGGCAATAAAAATTTTGGTGGAAGCTTTTCCAGAAAATTGAAAGAAATTGCACAACGATTTAGAGTGGTTCGACTTTATCAACCAAAGTCTACGTCCACTACCTTAGCTATCCACACTAAGGATTTTTCAACAAATTCACTAATTTGTTCTTTCTTTCGAGGCCAAAGAGATAACCTTACAACTCCCTCAAGAATATACCCCAATTCTTGAGAACACTATTTTCTCAAAGAGAAATACAAATTTGCAAACTTACAAGAAAAACCTCACAAGGCAAATATGTTTGCACAATTCTAGAACAAAGAAAGAACACTCAAGAATAAATACAATTGAGCACAATAAGTGTTCTTGAAAGAAAAATGAATATTGAATGAAAAATAGGCTTGAAATGCTCAAACTTGAGGTTTGATGCTTTCTCTTCGATTCTCTCTTGATTCTAATTGCTTGATGTTTCTTGTTATTGATCAATGGCTTCTAAGCTTGCTTAAATACACCTTGAATCACTTCTGAACGTTGGGGATGATTAGAGAAGATAATATAGCCGTTTTAGTGTGAAAACAATTAATAAAACAGCTTGGAGCGTGGGGGGAATCGGTACCCCCTATGGGGAATCGGTTCCCTAAGTGTACAATTCAAATATTTTGACTGTTATACAAGGGGGAATCGGTATCCCATGGGGGGGAATCGGTTCCTTCCGAGCATACTGGAATTCTCGGAGCCAAACCATTCAGGGGGGAATCAATACCCCCTTGGGGGGGAATCGATTCCCTCTGAGCAATCTGGAATTTTTGGCTTTGAAATGGTTCGATATACTTTGTAAAATTATTTTGAAATTGTTTTAAGATTAAAACTTAATTTTACACTTGAGTAAGGATTAAAAATGATTTTTGAAAGATTTGGAGTAATGTTTTTATATTCGAATAGTTATATCGAATATACTTAGAAAATTATTTGGAAAATCTTAAAATTCATTTAACTTAATTTGTTTTATCGAAACATCAAAATGTTTTCAACAGAACTACTATAAATCATTGTGCAAATTTCCCTATCTTTATACTCCTTACTCCCTAAATTTCAAAAAGCCAATTCACCCCCTCTTGGCATATTTCATATGATCGATTGAGCTTCAACGAACTCAACCATCTTCGATAGAACCTGTGGGTGAATGAGATCATATTCTATATTGTCAATGAGGTATTGATTTTTGTACACAATTCTAGTCAATGACGTCAATTATGTCATCAAATACCTTAAATACTACATCATCGTATTTCGAAGGTGAAAATCAAAGTGGAGTGATATTCAGTACACCTACTATTGAAGAAGAAACAAACGCAAATAAAGATGATTAAGGCATATAATCACTAAGAAATCAACGAGACCCACACCATTATTATTGGACCATTCATCAGCATCGTCAAGAACTAAGGAAATATAAGTAAATTATTTTATTTTTAGTGATGATATTAGTTTAATTTTTTTATTATTAATTTGTAATAAATTATTTCGGAATTTTTTTTAAATTTTTTGACTAAACTCGTCACATTGTTCCAATTTTCTATATTTTTTAAAATTAAAAAATATGCATATTGCCCAACAACTAGTTCATTTTGAATTCACTTGGAACTTGTCGTCGACGTGGTGAGTTCTTTTATTTTTTAAGTTAATTTAAATTAAAAAATAATTTCTTAATTTTATAAAAATATATTTTATCAAAACTTAACATATCGACGTGACGAATTTCTATAAGTATATTAAAATATTAGACCTTACGGGTCCTACTTATATAAATTTAATTAAAAATATTATTTGAACAAATTCGACAGGTCGAAGGATGAATTTGTTGTAACATTTTCCGTATATACCAAAATAAAATTCTGAGTGACCTAATGGGCGAATTTATTATACCATCTGACCTAATGAGGCAATTTTACGGTTAACTTTACTTCCGAAACAAACGGCACATTGAACAAGAAACCACAGACTGGGGTCAATGTTTTGTTTCACCCTTGATTGCAGGCCAATTAATTCTGGTTATATGTTATAGGATCTTAACAGTTATAGCAAAAAGCTCCCATATTTTTATAGGAGCGTAGAAGCCTCTAAAAAGATTAGAAAAATTATTTTTTTATTTACGATTTAATTCTTGAATTATTTTTTTCTCTTCGATATTAATTAAAATGTTTAAATTAATTTAATATTTAAGTTTTATCGTTTTCCTGTTTAAAATAATTAATAGCGTTAAAAAAATTGATAATATTAACAAACAATAATGCATCACATGTTTATCCTTTTGTTTGTCAGGTCACGTTTTTAATGTATGATATTATCAATTTTTATACTATATTTTTTGATAAATTAAAAATGTTGAATGATTTTATTAATTTAAAATGATTTAAATTTGATAGAAAATATTAAGTGAATAACTAAAAATGGTAAGGGCTGATGAGTCATACATAGTCACTCATAGCACAATTGAAACTATTATTGTATAAAATAAAGAAGAAGAATTACAAAATAGGCCTAATGATACTATTAAACTCGAAAATGAAATTTTAGTCCTTGGATTTTCATTAAACCAAATTTACCCCGGTCGGCAAACTAGAGACCGGCTTAGAAGTTGGATCCCCCGAGAAAGAAAAACCCAAAAAAGAACCGAAGCCCAACCCAAAAACTAACCGGCAAAAAGAATAGGAAACCCTAAGATGCGGCTATAAAACAATCACGATTAGGGTTTTGAATGTACGTAAATCTCATCGCCACATTCCTCCTTCAAGCGGGCGAGAGAGAAAAAAAGAGATAACCTAAGAGGGGAAAGATGCCAGCTGGTCACGGTGTCCGTTCTCGAACGAGGGATTCGTTCTCCAGGCCCTTTAGAAAGAAGGGTTACATTCCCTTGACTACTTACCTCAGGACCTATAAGATCGGCGACTTTGTCGATGTTAAGGTAAACGGCGCCGTTCATAAGGGTATGCCCCACAAGTTCTATCACGGCCGCACTGGTCGCGTTTGGAATGTCACAAAACGCGCCATCGGCGTTGAAGTTAACAAGCAGGTATATCAAATGCATTTGTATTCTTTTCAAATGTCTATTTTTTTTCTTTATATTTGGTAATGAAGCGCTTTTATTTCTTGGTTTCTGTTTTATGGGGTTGCAGTGTGTTGTTTTTGGGGTTTTCATATCGCATTGCTTGTATTATTTGAATTTTTTGTCTTGCTGTGAATCTCTGTTTAATTTCGTGTTTTAAAATGTTGATTACTAATGCTTAGTTTTTATGAGAATTCGATTATAGTTGTTTATTAACATGTATTATACTGTTCTGCTATATGTACTTGCGTTCTCCAGTGTCGCTATATTAAGTTCTTTTATTATAAGATTAGATTAGATTTGCGTGTTTATGCTGCTCTCTGATTATCAAAACTGACTCTTGTGGATGAGTTAAAATTATAGACTTAAGATTATTTACATTTAGTTGCCGTTTTAATGAACTGGCTCTATTGTGCCAACATATGTAAGGTTTGTTTGCCATCAATTTAGCGTCTGTAGTACTATTTATTTAATGTAGAATGAGGAGTCAATGTGAATAACTTTGTATTACTATTGCATTTGAAGCACTTCAGTGGTATAGTTTGTCTGATATGTTGCCTGGCTGATATTATAAGCTTGTGGCCTGCTCTCATGTGATCGTGAATATGGAAATTTTGGTAATTTGAATGTTTATGCTTGTGAATATTAGGTGGGAAACAGGATTATCAGGAAGAGGATTCATGTGCGGGTTGAGCATGTTCAGCCTTCGAGGTGTGCTGAAGAATTCAAGCTGAGGAAGGCGAAGAATGATCAACTCAAGGCAGAGGCCAAGGCAAAGGGTGAGATAATAAGCACAAAGAGGCAGCCAGAGGGCCCTAAACCTGGTTTCATGGTGGAGGGTGCTACGCTTGAAACCGTAACACCCATCCCATATGATGTCGTTAATGATCTCAAGGGTGGCTACTAGATCTACTCTGTTTTTATATTTTTGGTCTTGCTGTTTTGGATTTCTTTTCGGCAAAACATAAGTTAACTGAATTAAATATTTGCAAGTGCTGTTTCATTTAGTATATTTTGAAGATTACTTATTTCCCAGAGATTTTAATGTTATCAATCATTTTAGAGGTTATGCATTGTGCTTGTTTATTCATTGTGAGAATTTGGTATAGTGCTTTTTATTATTTATTGTACAAAAGATGTATATTTTGTCTGTTTTAGTTCATTTGCGCATTGAAGATACAAGGTAAACAATATTACTGGTAAATATTGAATTGTGCAAGTAATATGTCGCCATTAAAAATAGTAAAGTGATGCACAACCAAGAAAAGTGGCGGTAATTGAACACCTATAAATTCTACCTTGACAATATATTGATAGTAACATGATTACGGTAAATATGAGGAACATTTGCAATGTCACGAGGAGGACCTACCAGAACTTGGTCAGATTTGTGAAGGCATTAGCATCAAGTTCATGGACAAATAAAGTGCAATTGTTGGACATATCCAATGAATTTATGGATGCTATCCTATTGTTGAGCAAGTTTAAAAGAGCGTGTTAGGATAATTTTAATTTTGTTATGTTTTAATTTGGTAAAAGCATGCTTTAATTAAGTAAATTTGTTAATTTTATCATCTTCTCACTATTTATCATCTTGTTTAGTTAATCTCCGTCGTAGAATTGTTAATTTTGGTTATTCGTTTAAATCAAAAGAGATGAACCGTTTACCATTGTCATAGTCCATTTTACCCATGAATGGAGCATGATTAATGCATGGTAACACCAGTGTTGCAGTGATGTTTCAGTTCTCAATAGAGCAGACTTTCGGTGAAAAATATTCCCATAGAAAATAGTTTAAGAAGAAAAGTGGGAAACAGACGAAACATTAGTATAAACATCACTGCTTGTATACTAAAGACTCATTTCCTCTTCTTTTTGTTTTGGTTATTTGATAGACGAAGAAAGATTGGATCTTGATTACCATGTCCAGCTTCTGTCAGCAAGTTACCCTGGTTTTATATTTCATCTCCAACAAGCAAGCCCTTCTGTACTTTTCCAGTGATTTTCCGATTGATTTGTGCCATATTGCATCAGTAACCGTGTACATATTCTACCTTCAACATTCTGATTATGCTATCAAAACAAAATATGCTTTTAGCCACTTGTATTTTCCCTTGGTTTACCGTGTTCTAAATTTATGCAGAACCCGGATCAGGAAACCCGAATTTCAAAGAGACTAAATCCTAGAGTCACTACTTCGTTAACGAAACAAGGTTGTTGTTTGCCACAGTTGGCTCGGAAAATGCTTGTATTTTCCCTGTTTCAGCCAATGTTCATGTCATAAGAAATCAATCAAAAACCAACCTTTCTTCTTGTTTCAAATCTGTTGAGATCACTCATCTATCCGAGAATAAGAAGCATTCCTTTCATTTGCAAAATACTATATGAAGATACTAATTTTTTTCATCCATTTGTTTTTATTATTATATTATTATTGTTATTATTATTTTATTTATTACTATTATTATTTTATAATTATATTATTATTATTATTTACATTACAGACCCAACAGACTTACCCAAACCTAAAAAAACCCTAAAAACCCATTTAGGGTTTGAGCTCAGCTCTAGCCGCCTTTCAATCTCAGCCGTTGGACCAGATCCAACGGTCCAGAAGCCTCCAGATGAAACCCTAGGGTTTCATAACCCTAGGTTACCACGAGACCGCCGTTGCATCCAAGACCATTCCAGCCGCCTCTGATGCACCAGGTGGCTGCTGATTCCACTGCCATTTGGTTCGAGCCGAGCATTGTGGTGGCTATAAAAGCCACCACCGAACCTGAAAATAGAGAAAACAACGAGCAAGAACCCGAGAAAAAAAAACAGAGAAGAACTCGGGAGAAGACAACAACCAATAACCAGAGATATCAAGCACGAACCCACAACAACCATCAACAGAACACAAAAAAAAAAGAGAGAAAAAACGAGGAAGGAACTTACCACCGAGGAGCTTCCAAAACCACCGGAAAGCCGAAGAGTCGAAGGTAAAAAAAACTAGATCTACAACGTTTGGTAGAGTTTTAGGTTAAAGTAATCTTGGATTTGGCTTTAGGGGAAACTAGGCTTTAATTTGGGGGTAGGTTTGAAATTTCCGGCCACTGACAGCGGTGGCCGACGACGGTGATCGGAGTCGACAGCGGTGGGCGGTCGGTGATTTTTCCCTCCGATGAAGAAATCGAAGAGAGAGTTGAGAGAAAATTTAAACTTCTCTCTTAGAGAGAGAAGTGAAATGAAAAAAATAAGAGATGATGGCCCTTAAGGGCCGGCTTTTTGGGTTTAAATATCCTCCCCAAACGACGTCGTTTTGGGGGAGGGACTACTATGTAATTTCATAGAGGTAAAACCCAGTCCTCCACCCTTCATAGTTTGTAAACTGTCATTTTAGTCACTGAAATCAGTTTATATTCCTTTTAATTTCGAATTTCAATTTTACTTTATTCTATTTTAGTCACTGCACCGTAGTTATAAATATTTAGGGTAAATTCTCTATTTAGTCCTTTATAATTTAAATTAAATTTGTTTTAATCTCGTGTTAATTATTAGGGTAAATTACACTTTTAATCACTTATATTTCATAATATTTTTGAATAAAAGCTTTTAATTTTAATATATTATAATTTAATCACTATTTTAAATATTTTAAATATTTATTTATTTTTTAATATTAGGGAAATGACTGTCTTAAAGTAACTAGAAATCTTTTTCTGATATTTCTAAATAATTAAATATTCTACTTTTATAAATTATTATTTTTAGAGAAATATTTTATTAATATTTATTTATTTTTTAATATCAAGAAAGGGGTTGTCTTAAAGCACCTAGAAGTTCTTTTCATATATTTCTAAGTAAATAAATATCTTATATATATATAAATTAATAGATTTTCTTAAAATTATATTAATAAATTTGAAATAATAGGATTATGAATTAAATATATTTTTGAATTTTTAAATTTCCCATAATAGAGACAATTTATAATTAATGAGTACTAATTTTGAGCGTTGTGGGGGTGCTAATCCTTCCCCAAACGTAATCGACCACAAATCACTTTTTATTATTAAAAAGAACAAATTTTTTGTTAAATCGCAAACCAGTTTATCTTTTAACTATTATTTTCTTAAAAACTCTTTTAAAAAATAATTTTTAGGTATTCGACCTACCTGACCCAAAAGGCCGATGGCGACTCCCAAAACATTTTAAAACCCATTTATTCACATCACTTTTCCCACCAAGTAAAAAAAAATTTCGTTCCCGAGAAAAAATCGGTTACGACACTATATATTAAAGAAAAAATATAATATTAAGGGGTAGACCAAGAATAGAAAGGCAAAATTAGTGGGGGAAAAAAGGCGTTGGGTTGACAAACTTCAGATGAATGGAAAAATTAACAGCTGTAGGACTTAAAACCATGACCTTTCGGACCAGAGCGTAAATCTGGCGCCTTAGACCACTCGGCCAAATTGTCTTGATGTATAAAATTCTAAATATTTTTATAAATAGCTATAGATTCATATCTACCTGCATTTAACTCATGAAAACTGTTGGTTAGATTAGACTTGTTTTAAGAATTTTTGGGGAATACTCATTCCAAATTCCTTGTGGTACGTATAATATATAGGTTCATTATCTTATTCCAACAACGTAGCGCAAATTGATAAGGATTCATTGTCTTCTTTCCCTCAAGAACATATATGCATTTGATTCATGTTATAAATTTTGTAGTAAAAGAACAGAGAGAGTTGAAGGGACTGCAAATTGATGCCTTATTGTACCTCGAACCCGAAGCAGCCGCAAGGAGAAGGCGATAGTGCACACATTGTGTGTAAGTTGTTCTGTAATTTACTTCAAACATGTTTACCTCCCCATCTGTAACATGCAGGCTGCAGCTTGTCCTTCCAATGGCTATGAAGACAACATGACCCGCAGCTTAATCTTGCAAAGAAGCACGAGATATTCGCTATATCTAATTCCAGTGATCGGAATCGTACCGATCCAGCAAGTTTCTTTGATAGACACATATGATGTCTCACAGCTTTTCAGATATATGGATTTTGATCCAGCAATTTTTGTTGTTGCAAAAAACAAGAAGTATCTATTATCTAAATTTATTTTATTTTTAAAAATAATAGATTTAGATATCATAGCATTTACTTATTTTATAGTTTTAATCATATATATACAATACATTCATTTTTTTAATTTAAATATACAACAAATCATATGCATATTCAAATAATAATACACATTTGCTAAAATTAATATGCTCAAATTTAATATAAATGAAGAATAAATTTAAACTTCTTAAAATTGGAGCAATATGAGAATTGCATGTATCAAAAGGTATGAAAAGAAGTAAATAATGGGACGTTACACGAGAGGCCAATATGGGAAGGGAGAATTTAATCAGAACGTAAAGAAGCCGCGTGCGGTGCGGTGTGCCTCTTATTTACCCCCAAACGACCTTCGACTTCATATCTTTTGACCTATACACGTGTTGGATCTATTCCCCAAATAAAATACTAATTCCAAAATTTACTTTTTTTGTTTATATTCTAAATTAAATTCGTCCAATAAAGAATTTCATCACGGCATAGACTTTTAATTTTTAAATGTAAAATATCACGAGTATTTATAATTAAACAAAAATCAAATTGTTAATTAAAAATTGTAGTTAAAAAGAGAATTTATAATTAAACAAAAACCAATTTGTTAATTGAAAGTTATTAAGTTAAAAATAAGACGACTCTGAAATATAAATGATCACTATGTTTTATTAAGATTGAATGCTTTTATATTTAATATACGTAGATGTCAACAAAGTGATTGATGATCATAGATAATCTATTATTTTTAATTTAGGAAAAGAGTCGCAGTCGACGTTCTAACGATTATCGACAGCTAATTTTGATGATGAAGATATGAAGAATGAGAAATCTTTTAGGGCTAGAACAATCAAGGATGAAGAGGAAGCTGAAGAAAAAAAAATATCCTCACCCTTTAACTTCTTATAGGGGTTTATAT